TCAAGTTGTGATGATATTTGTGAAATTTTGATAGCTGGTTAATTCTGTTGGTAATCCATGTAGCGGATATTCGTAAAGGGTACCATACATATTCTCTGTATTATGATTTCCACCGCTCGGTATTAAGATTATCTTAATTTATACCACACTGTATATGTGTATGGTAATACTTAATGTACATACATATGTCACTTACCAATTACTTTGACAAAGTTATACATGTATGCACCCATTTATTGGTATTATTTCAATACTGGATTTCTAAGTGTGTGCAACAAATTTTCTATTTAGCAATACGGTCCGGTTGCAAAGCCGCATTGTTCTGAGCTAGCCGACCCACCCTCTGCCGCGTTTGCTAAGGCAAGTTGTCTTGACCCGAAGCAATACTCGGGTTCATTCGCCTGCAACTATTGGGTGACAGGCGCCAAGTACACTGGAATCAATTACTATCAGGAGGGCTGTCCAGTGGGAACCGTGGCGTATTGTTGTTGTATTCCAACAGCTGGTACGTGTAGTATGCCCACGTCTTAAAGAAGAGACGAATAGTCTTGCAAAAGTTTTTATTGATTATTAAAATTTGTTTTACGTTAGTTAAAATATGTGTTTTAGATATAGTTATGTATGTACTCTAAATCCATGCAGTATTGAACTTTTACAGAAATTGAGAAATCTGAGAAACTACGCCACTGCCAGTCTCAAAGTTCCCCGACAACATGATTTGAGGGTATTTGAGACTGACAGTAGCGTAGTTTCTACGATTTCTCAATTTCTTTAAAAGTTCAATCCTGCGTGGATTTAGAGTATGTATGAAGTTAAGTTCAATAAAGATAGTAGCGCTACATATTTATGTATGTGTATACTTTTATGAAAATTAGGTAAACGGTATATAATTATTAAAGCTGAAATATGATGAAAATTATATAAATTTATGTACGCAGCTCGTGGGAATCAGTATCATACATACACATGGTTGAATCATGTCAACTCATTTGCATAAATCTCAATATGCCCATTTTCGCCGATACAGACTTTCCATGTTAAACAAACTCTGGATAATTTGTGTCTCGAGATTGCGGCAAAATATCGAGGTGACACGCATGAATAATTCCACTGTACACTCATATGTATATGTGGACATATGTATATTTACAAGTCATACATATGTTTACATATTTACAGTCAATGGAAAAAGTATTGGCAACCCCCACGCTAGCTAAATAAAATTGGCTATAACCATGGAATGCATCATACAATTGGCATGTAAATTTGTAGGCCTTTAGCAAATATAATGTAGTTTTCGATTATAGTCATGTTTTATTGACTAAAATTAGATAAACACAGTTTTTAAATAATTTGTTGGAAAATTTGCAAACTTTACCCGCAAAAAGTATTGGCAACCCTTAACTTAAAAAATCATAAATCAATGAAACGCCAATTTTATTATGACAAACTGCTTCTAATATTACGTAGCACCTCCCCTCGACGCAATACGAGCAAAAATACGTCGTGGAATTTATTCGACAAGTTCCTATATAACGTTTTTTTATATGGCTGCCCACACTTCCTTCGAACTTTTGACAAGCTCATTTTTCGAAGAGTGGTTTCCCACCAGTCCCTCTTTTCTCAATCCGGACAATCAGAATCACATCGGGAGACTGTGTGGCCAACGAAAGAAGCTTAACCTTTTCGATATCCAAAACCTTGCATCGTTAAATTGGCTACATGTTTGGGGTCACTGAATTTTCGGAATATAAAATTCTTTCATAGGTTAGATTTTTATCAAACAATTTCAAATTATCGTTTAGAATGATTATTTGGACCTCATTGGTCATTATTCCATCGATAATGACCAGCTACCTACGCCACGACCTAGTCATTTAACCCCAAACCATAATCGCTCCTCTTCTGTGTTTAGCTGTCATAGGAACATATTCGTTTTTGTGAGCCTATTATGGCATCCGCCAGACTTGAACCATTCAATTGGCTCCGAATAAGCGAAATATGCTTATGTCAGACCAGCAGAACATTTTTCATTCATTGGAAGTCTATTCAGGGTGGTATTTAGTCCATTCCAATTTATTGAGTTGGTTCGTTTTGGGGACCCTCGCGTCAGTCGAGCTTCTGGACCCTGAAACCCCATGGCATGATTTTTGATTGATCACAATATTGCATGATATGTTGACCCCACAGTTGGTTCTCAAATTCAACATGGTTTTGGGAGCTGAAATCTTCCGATCTCGAGTGATAATTTGCTTGATTCATCAGTGGCTCGTGGGCGTAGGTGCCTTTTTCCTTTCGCACCATGGAAAAGTAGAAACTGAGATTGCCATTTTGTATTTCTTGGCTACGTTTTCAATAGTAAATATGGAAAAGTATGTTTTCTCTTTGAATTTTCGATAAGAAAGCTTTTTTGTGAAAGAGACATGATTATTTCTCCCGGCGCCAATACAGGATGCGCTACTAACACGTGAACGCGGTCACTCTTGAATTGCTCCAAAACGGGTTGGAGTTTCGGTTCCAAATTTCGAGCATAGCGACATGTGATTGTTGACAAGGGCTGAGCAAAAAATTAACTCTCTAGATTCAAAAATGACCCTACCATTGCCCTTAGAGTAAGAGGGTACCATAAAAACACTTTCCAAACTTAATATTTCGTACACAGACATAATTAACCACTTTAAAACTCAAGGACAACAAGTTTTGAAAGGAAGGATACATAAGGGACTTAAAAAAGAAGGTCAATAACGACAAGCTCGTACCACAGGACAACCATCATTCCTCAAACACGAGTCCGAAAAGTGCTAATTCGGCCCGTGCTTAAGAAAATTGACCTATTGACCTCTGAGGACAACCCACCACCCCAGAGAGCAGTGGCACGTCTAACCAAAGTGTCAGAGACTAGTGTGCGACGAGCAATTAAAATTTTGGGGAAGCAAAAAAGAAGAAAAATACAAGTCAATCAGCTGACTGATAAGAATAAAAAAAATCGTCGTCTGACCTGCAAAATAATTTATGTGAATTACCTGACAAAAGATAAAAGTGACTTTTTAGTGTCGTTGGATGAAGAATTATTTTCTTTAAAGATACCAACGGTCAGAGACAAATTTACTATACAACCAAAGGAGAAATTAATTCCAGAAGATTGGCCGTCCCGCACACGGAAAAGTTTTGCAACAAGTTCATGGTGGTTGGTGCATTATCTGGTCGTGGTCTCCTCCCACTTATCAAAGTTCCACAAAAAGTGAAGGTAACTGCGAAGTACTTCATTGACTTTGTTTTAAAACCGCTTTTGGAGATTCATCTTCCAAAACTATATGGCTAGGACACAAATAAAGTGATAGTTCATCACGACGCAGCGTCATCGCACACCGCCCTTTTGACCCTGGATTACGCCAAGGACTTAAAAGCTAGACTCGGGATAACAATCATCCAAAATAGTGAAATACCTGTTAATTCACCCTATGTAAGTCCCATGGATTTTTTCGGCTTTGGGTATCTGAAATAAAATCTTTTCTTCGCCACCCAAAATCTTTTGACGGAGTTTGGAAAGTTTTGAGAGACTAGTAGTCTAAAGTTGACCTCACCATGGTCAAATCAGTGTACAAAAGTTGGAATCGCCGATGTCGACTTGTAGTTCGAGAAAAGGGCTCTCACATAGAACATGTTCGGGACCTCCACTCTAAGCCGTTCAACCAGTAATTTAAGGTCATAAACGTTCACGTGTTAGTGGCGGAGCCTCCGTACAGCTCGTTTGGTGTCGCCATTTTGGCTCCAGACAACACAACTGTAGACTTAAAATGTAGCTAACGTCATATTTGGTCACCTAATTAACTTACCGTAATGAAATGTGGTAGCTGATTAAGAAAATTGTTTCGCGTAATTAATTTGGCCACATGTTGCCAATACTTTTTGCGGGTTAATTTTGCAAATTTTCCAACAAATTATTTAAAAACTGTGCTTATCTAGTTTTAATCAATAAAACATGACTATAATCGAAAACTACATTATATTTGCTAAAGGCCTACAAATTTTCATGCCAATTGTATAATGCATTCCAACGTTACAACCAATTGTATTTAGCTGGCGTGGGGGTTGCCAATACTTTTTCCATTCACTGTAATGCAGTGGAATTTTTTGTGGCGTGTCATCGAATTTACATATTTTTTGCCGCAATCGCGAGAGACATAGCCAGAGTTTATTCAATATGGAAAGTCCTTATCGGCGAAAGCGAGCATATCTAATGTAATTTATGCAAATGAGGTCACACGCGCAAATAATTTCACTGTACATATTTACTAGTCATGCTATTTCATCGAATATATAATCAAGTCATGAAATTTTTTGCATATGTGTGTATAAGTATGTACATACGGTGCGCGTATAATGAAGACGAGGACGGAAATTAATAGTTACATAAATTTTTCGAATTTGGAATTGCCATATTTAAAAAAAATAAGCCGAGCCAACGCTATTTGGACATATTTAATAAAGTACATACATTCTGTAATTACGCGTGTTACAGTCAAATATGCCTATGCGATTTATTTATGCATAAAGTTGTCGAGTACGGTTTTATATATCACATAATAAAAAATAAGATTCCTTCTAAAATATTTTTTTTACTCGGCTTTACCGAATATTTGCATCTTGTCATACTACCTATAAATATGCAACACTTATTCGTATCCGTAACATTACGTATGTATGTCAATCTGGGCTTGCCATCGGAACACTCGTATTTCACCGACTTCCTGACTCGCATCCAGCACGATGCAAACTAATCTCTGTTGAATCAAGGGCGAAACATGTATTGCAATTAGTCCACTGTCGTTTACTAGTTGATGAAAAATGAAACATTAAAATATGTAATTAGACGAGGTGACGAAATGCGTGAACTACATGTTTTTTGGGTGTAAAGTGAAACGTCTTGTCTATGTCCAATTCTGGTTGATATGTGGTGACGAATTTATTCGTGTGTACGTGGCAAGATGCTGCCCCACCCAAGCTACAGATTTCTTTATTTTGTGAGTCACATCTAACTTACACGCCAGAAAGTGACTACCCCGTTAATTCTTTAATGAAGGGGAAAATTCGAGAATAAATTTCCATGAAAATTTTGAAGTTATCAATTTGTCAAAACATGTAAAGCAATCAGCAGACGTGGATGTCAAAGTAAAGGAAATATTCAGAATTATTGTATCAAAATGGATAGAAATATTTTAATTATTGTAGTTTAAATTTTTCCAAAAATATTTTATTTCATCTGAAAGAATTGTACTACTTTCTTTCTTTCATAATTTTAACACATTTGTAATATGAGGTTCTATTAATTTGCTCATTATATCGATTGATTTCCTCAATTTTTTACTTTAGCCAAATATTTCGCAATATTCCCTGGATTTTTGGTCGACGGAAATATTTCTTACAACGTGCTGGCAGAAATGCATATTATACATATACGGTGAGTTAATTACATATAGGGCTTTACAACATAACGAAAATTTAATAATCAGACACCTTAGTTTTGATTCATAGTGAATTTTAAGGATTTTCTAGTAGAGAACTTATTTAATTTCAAATTGTATGGGGATTTATTAGTATTGATTACAAAATTTGTACAATTTATCTAATTCTTATAATGTGCTTACACATACATAATTGATTTATTATTTCAATAGATAAAATTCCGAAGGGGTGGAAAAATTAAAATTAATAAAGACATTTTTATTTTACAGAAATTCGTCTAACATGTTTCGACTTCTTCACCAACCATGCGAAACCTTTCGTAAATACGTCGACATATTTACCTGTCAAATACACACTCTTATGTACCTGACCCGATTTCCAAGAATTTCGTAAGATGATCGAATTAATTAGGTAAACATGTACATACTTATTTAAGCGAACTTATTATTAAATAATTGTAAATCACAATTTCAAAGACAAATTAATAAAAATTCTTCATTATTTAATCACTCAGGCATCAGCATTTCTTTGTTGGAGAATGGTTCAAAAATTTAAAAAATAAGTTGTCGGATGGACAATGCAAGAGACAGACACCAATTCCTGAGGCCCAAGTTAAGAATGCTCAAGTTACAAATACGTTTCAAATAGTGTAAAAATTGACAAAAAAATCTCGACGTACTATTTACATCTGTCGTAACTCATTTAAAATTTAGTTTAATGTACACTAATTTATTTAGTGTATACGTAGAGCCACGATGTGAACCAGGAAGGGTCATGCATATATACATTTATGTGAGTGAGAAGTTATCTCAAAATCAGCTCAAAATTAGCCTCTCACGAAAAATCAAAAATATTGGAACTTAAATATATACAGCGTTACGTAATTAATTTAATACATGTTATCCACTTAACTGTTCATCTCAGGCAGACCTTCTTGCTAAATAGTAGCTTCTTCGGTGGCATGATTGAAGGACTTTGCAAAATATGTAAAAGTGCAACGTTTTTGGACAAAAATGCGGAATTTGTGAGTAGCAGATATTTTATATTTTAAGGTGGGGGAAAATTTCCAACTCTTGAACAACATTTTCATATAATCGTCGTTGGGAAAAGCAAGATCAAATGTGGGATGACTGTAATTTCTGTGTCGCTTCAGCGACTAGTGCCCAAGGCATTGCACACGAGAGAGATAATCGCTCATTATTAAGTAGACTCGGCTGACTTATCAAGTGTTACATTGTATTTAGAAGATGGACGTCTTTGGCGTCGTATGATTAGATTGCATTAGATTTATTTTCTCTCATGAAGTTTTCATTGCTGTCTGTAATAGGAGTGACCACGCTACCTATCTCGTCAACGTAAGAGTCGTCGCATAAAGAAGCAAATTTGATTTTCTGAGGATTAACATGAACATAACCGTATAATGAGGGATAAAGGCGCTTTGTTGCCGGATTTACCCATATAGTTCCGTCCTGCTATCTTAGAATATAGAATCCGAATTGAGTTGTTCAGCAACGTGCAGAATGGCGTTGACAAATCCCAGGCCCGTCAGACAGACCTTCAGGTCTTATCTTGCGCATAACGTCAGTGCTGGGTACTGTAAAAATGTTATGTATCCGACGAAGCGGTGGAATGTCACGATGGTGCTGAATATGCACTTTCGGTCTTCTTGAGGGCTTCAGTTTTTCTTTTAATTTGTCTCTTTGTCCCATTTTGCTGGTTTACAAGTTCTGATTGTTTGAAATAATACAAACTTTCCAGCTAGGGCACATTCAAGCATAATGTCTTGCTCGTATTTATCAGCCAACGTGGCCTGCGTCCAGTGTCGCTCTAGTTGCAACTCTTCAAGGGGGTTCACTACTTTACGTAATTATTCCTCAATGGATGACATATGATGTTGGAAGTGGATTAGTCTCGGTTTGCACGGGGTAACTCGGGTGTACTTGTTTTTTTACTTTTCTTATTTGCGTGGTCCTTTGGGGAGATTGATTATTCCCTTTTGTTACGCGGAAGGATCCGAGTATGTGGGACATACAAGGATCTATAATTAGGCGCTGATACGACGACGAGAAAGAGAGAGACAGAGGGTGTTCAGTATGGATTTAGGGTTAGGATAAGTGTGGTGTGGACCACGGTATTAGTTAGTCGTGGATAAGTTAGGATAAGTAGTCAGTAAGTGGAATGGAAATAAAGGAAGATTACAAGGAAGAATAGCCCGAGACCCCTTATTTCTCAACCCACCACCATCGATCTCGCGTAACATGGGGGCTCAACCCCAGTTGGACCTTCCTGTGGGGACGTGCCTCTGGGGCATCGTTTCCTCAGGACTCCAACTCGGACTCGGTCTGGAGACGCGACGAATCTACTGCGGTGGGGAAATCTACCTAAGGTTCGGGTATTAAAATTCCTTGTTCCTTAAATTGCACTAACACGTAACAATAAATAATTGTCTTACAATTCGACTCGATAATAATCGGTATGTACGGGTATGAAGTTGGCATTGTTCAGTAGATATATGAGCAGTTCTGGAAAATCGTATTGACGAATTGGAGACGATAGTCTCACTATTCATGTCAGTGCGATTGGCAGGAACTAGCTCATTTTTTAATTTTAAACCGTTCTGGGGGAGGAGGTTGTTCTGGTCTGGTGGGGAGTTCGATAGTACTGCCCTATCGGTCAGCTGCAGCTAGCTTACCTGGAGCGGATTGGTAGTTTATTCGGAAAAATATTTGCCTTCATTGTCACCCCGTATTTTTTTGTGTGGTTAACTAACTCGAGTAATATTGCATAATAATGCATAACCAAGTGTGTTACTAACTTTTACGGCATTAAAATGAGCAGAGCACGGTTAGGTATTCATCTTTAACTATCTTAAATTTGGGATAAAATTTATTGGCAAATTTTATTATGCATATAATATAGGGGTACACGGAAATTTTTGAAAACTTCAGCAAAATTTTGGGAATCTCATAATTCATGGTATTATTTAAAATATATATTAGACTACATATCTCATCCGCCCCATTTTTAGGAATTTATGCGAATAATTTATTAAAAACTTCAGGAAATCATATCAATACGTATGTACGGGTCATATTTTCTAGTCATGCGAGAATAAATTTTTAGTACAGTAGATAAATATTAGCAGATAAATATTCGATGTATGACCGGGTGCATCTCTATACCCAAAAATAAAACTGAATGTGGCAAGTTAAAAATATATGAGCCGTTTTCCCCGCATAAACAATTCGACTTTAGAGCAGCAGGAAACCAACATTTAACCCATCTTTGACGTAAATCTAAGCCCAGAAATGCATCGCAACCTTCACAGCACACACAAAAATAGATCACTAGTATGGCACCCTAAATAATAAGTTGTTTGCAAATTCTGTTCTTCAAATTTCTTGTGGGCACCTTGATCATTTCAATTATTGCAGTGTAATGCATGTATTCGTTCCTGACGTTAGCAGATGTTCTGACAAATTTATTTTTGTCCATGTCCAGAAAAGGAATTACCTCATAAATTCTTTGTGTAAACTTTGACAGGCTGATAAATTTAGCTTTCGCAAGCATTCACTACTAGCACAAATACGAAAAACGCCATACGAAATAAATAAATATATATATATAGCTTTGTAATGTACTAGTAAGTTACAAAGTGGAACGTGATCCGGGATCCGACTACGTCATAAACCCACGAAAGTGGAATTTTATTTTTATCCCAGAAATTATCACTCACTCGTTTCTTCCCGGCACTAAACAAAACAAGAGTAAAGTTGGCAAGGATTGTCGTTCTTATCGTTCTACTTAGGTACATACATACAGGTATTAGTCTCGGGGTTAATAATGTTCATGCATGCAGTGTGACAGTGACACTGTAACTGCATTTTGTACGCTTAGCCTAGGCCGTACCGATTCTTATTTTCCCACAAATCGTCAGGGTTCAAATGGACGCATTTTTTATTCGGACTCAAAATACTGGATGAGACGGGTTTTATTATATCATTACTTTCACCCGTATACATATCATTCATACACCAGGGCGGCACCGTAGTTTTAATTACATAAAATCGCAATTTCTTCGCATCATTGTTTGGTACAACTGGCGTAAAATTAATTAACAAAAGGGGAATCGCCAAAAAAAGTAGGTACAAAATAATCAGAAATTTAGCAATTGACAATGATGAAAATTTGAAAAAAAAAGAATTGGGTTCATACGTTTGAATGCATTTCATAATCTAAGGTCGTGCACGCACCATATTTTCTGGTTATTTGAATCTGCTGAAATTTATATAATATAATGTGGATAGTTTCTGCATAACAAACGATAAAAATAAGCCAATTAGAAAAAAAAGGTGAAAAAGTCACTTTCTCCGTTCACCATTTTCTTAATGTGAGTTCATATTCACACATATATTGGTGACGACATGCAAGCACAATAAAATGGAAAAATGATATAAAAAGGGGACTAGGTAATCAGTTGCAGTGGTGTGAGAGCTGCAATAGATTAGGAGGAAGCATAGTTTGAGTCAGACGTGACTTCGGCCGTGGTCCACGTGGTAAATAGAAGTAAGAAAAATTATGTAAATGCATGGAATATGCATAATAACTGGCAAAATCACTGCAGATGAAATTGATAATTCCTGCAAAATATAATAATTCCTGCAGAGGATATCATTCCTGCAGAGGTAATAGGAAATTCGAATTCCGGTCCTAAAGGGACGCGTGTTTGACCTGGTCGCGCCAGGAAAATCAGAAGGGGACTGGTCGCTACAGTATCTCTTATCTGATGGGTTTCGTAAAGATTCACAATTTATACGAAAATTGTGCATGATACATTCCTCTCATTATTAAACACTGAGTAGAATAATACGTCATAAGCTAGATAGAAAAATGAAGCTGTTTCGCGTATATGTACATATTCATCATCTCGTTGTTTTTAAGATTTTAATGAAACACTTGTGTGCTTAGAAAAATTGAGTTTTCATACTCGATTAGTAACCCAAAATGGATCAGTATCATAAGTATTCTTCGGTCAAAAGAATACTTTGGATAAAGGTCAATGTTTTATTCAGAAGGGCTGACCACCTTACTGCATACAAACAAAATCAAAATCTGCACCACTTTACATTACTTCTTTATATGATAAGAAAACGGGTTTGACAAAAGTATTGCAAAATCCCGACTCAATAGTTATCACTTGAAGCAAGGTGTATTATGATGGTTCCAGAAAAGGAACACGTGTCTTGCTGTTGCCTTAATAACTAACTACATACATACTTATTTATCACAATTCATGAAAACTAGGTCCTTTTATACCCCTATCGATAATCTATATTATATGCTGGAAGTGTCTGTCGGCAACGGAAGTGAAAGCAAATGTTCCGCAACGGAAGTGAATGTGGAGAAAGTGATTTGCATATCAACTGCGTTGGAAAGTTGATAAGTCAGTTATCTCCTTATACATCAACTTCCATCATCTTCATCAACTCATTGGTATTATATGAGATGAAAGTGATGATCATCACTTTCACGTTCGTTGCGAATTCCTTGGACTTCCTCGGCGACAAAGGATTTCAGCTTACAATACAACTAAAATATTTAATCGGTTGGAGTTATCAACAATTCCATCCAATTTTTGTGAAAGTCAAATCAGCCCTCGCCCGGCGGGAGACGGGCTTATACGCTAGTTAAGAATATTATGATCACCTCCATTTTGTAAACTTCGTAAATTTTCGTAAATTTGGTAACAGCGTAAACCGAGTAAATGGAGTTTTTTATGTAACAAGTACCTATCATCAAATTGTATAAAAATGCACAATGGATGGATAAGCTCACTAGTAATTTTTAGTTCACATTTTTGCCAAGAATTTAAAAAAAATAAGTTGTCAAGAAAAATAAACGTATCATGGTCATCTCATGGAACATATGTACAGAAATGTGGAACTGAATTTGGTTAGGTTAGGTTCAGTTCACATTATAAAGTTACCAAATAACTTCAGAATTAAATTACTTAAATATTGGAACTAATGCTGGCTTATAATTATCACACTATTATTTTAAGTTAACGGTTTTGAATTTTCAAAAAAAATATTTCTACTTACAAGGATTTTATTATTTCCATCTAAATTTTTACTAGTTTCTTCACAATGGGCGGACTCACGTCACTTGCATCATACATGCAAAATATTTTTATAAATTAAAAGTACTTATGAATTGGATAGGAAAGAAAGAATAAAACTTGAAAATTTTGAAGAAATCCATTTCGTTGTGAAGGCATCCCAGGTGTAACGTAATGTGCGGATGGATCGATTATTGATTAATTGAATAATTTTGGGTCTCCGACTGGTTAATCGGTCAAATTAATCGCTTCAAAATAGCTCAATTATCGTTAATTCAATTAATAATTAATTCAATTAATAATTAATTCAATTAATATTTATCATATAATTTGCGATAGAATAAAAAATAATAATAATTTGCCTGTTTTATTGTTTGACAACGAGTGGTACATACTTTCTGTGAAATTTTACCAGATACGGTTCCGAGCTACCTGCAGGGACAAATTTACTAACTTTTTGTCCAAATTTTATATCAACTTTATCATGTCAATTATGCGTTTGAATTCAGATGCGTTTTAATTATCAGTGAAATACGGCGTCTTATAGGTAAAATTATTAGGTGTAACCAGAATTACATTTGGGGAAGATGACCTAAGACATCTTTTTAGAGTGTTGCACAGGGTTCTACGGTTCATAAAATGTGTCAGGTATTAAAATGGTAAAATTATTGTAATCTGTGGATTTAATTAAATCGTGCAAAGTCTCATAAGACTCAAACTTAACATCGACTTCAATTCTTAATTGTCCATTGGAATTGTTAATTTTATTCTATTTTCAGTTGTTCTGGTATCCTATAGAGCAAGACGATACCCTGCGATATCATCGTTTTTATTTACGAAAATTAATGTTTTCTTTTAAATTTCAGTTTCTCTGCTTTGCCGCTTTTAAATATTGGTAGAAATTGGTTACGGGATAAGTTATCTTATTTATAAATTTATCTTTTTTGCATAACAATTTCCGAATTTGGTCTTAATTTTTGTCGTTCAATTTTGCAGCCGTACTCTCCTCTCTCTCTTCACTCGCTCAATCTCTTTATCTTCAAATAATAATAATGTAATTAGTACTCGACTTTATAAAATTTTATCAATTTGTTGCTGTTCTATATTTAAATTGTGATAATGAATGTCTCAAGTATTTATGAAATTTTATAAACAATGCATATTGTTACGATTTAGCTTACTTATAGCTGTTATTGCCTTATTAGCTCGCCCTGCGTAGCACGAGAGCTATTGAATTCCTCGTGTCCGTCCGTCCGTCCGTCCGTTGACGAGTTTTTTGCATTAATTGATGCGATTTAAAAAGTCCCTGGTCCATTTTTTCATAAATTAATAGCACCGTTAGCATCTGACAATCGGAAAAACCAAGTGATGCGAAAGAATTGGGGGATCTGATTCATAAAGCACCAATAATGCATACTAGACGGCGGATTGTATTAGACAATTTTGACATAAATTTTTCAAAATTATCGTTGATCGTTGGTAGGTAATTCTGCACCAGTGATGCACAATTTTTGGACTTTCCTCGATGCATAATAATTATTGATCTATTTTGTTTAATTTTTCTGCACCATTGGTGAAATATTGCATAAACATTATTTATCTACTTTGTTGGATTTTTCTGCACCATTGGTGCATAATTGCATAAAAATTATGCACCTATTTTCTTGGATTTTTCTGCACCTTTGGGGCAAGTTATAACCAAATCATTATTACAGGGTGAGCTACTTGTAACGTTACTACGGTCAGACTAGCTGAAAACCGCACTAATGTTGCAGATTAACCGATGCATACAAGTTGTTGGATCTGCCATCCCTTACCCTTGAAATCATGTCAAATTTGTGTTCAAAATTTCCCCATTTTTTCTGCGTCATTAATGCAAAATCTAATCAAAATCATATTTCTATTTTCTCCGCTTATTGTGTACCATCGGTGTCAAGAATCTGCCACAGAATTTTTGAAAATTCAGAATAAGTTTTCTTGGCCTGATGTTTGTTTCGTCTGCCACATGACGTGATCATAGTTACAAGTGTTTTAGATTAAATGACGTAATTTCTATGCATTTCTAAATGACACTTTTTGACATGATCCCATATACATTTAATATCGGATAAACGCGACTATATCGACGTGAATATATAAGGCGAATATCGTCGTCCTAATTCTAAAAACCCCTAAGTGCAGTCTCATCTTAATTTTAAATAGCTCTAAGTGAAACTGCTTCGTAATTTTAAAAAGCCCTAAGTGCCGTACCTCGTTAATTTTAAAAACCCCTAAGTGTATTTTCGCATTAATTTTAAAAAGCCCTATGTGATACATAAAAACGAGTAAAAAGCCCTAATTGCAATTCAAATTTAAATTTTCAAATTATGCATAATTATGCATAATAAGATGTGATAAAATACTATACATGGGATAAACTCAAACTGTGTGACGTTTTTTGCAAATTAAATTTTGAAATTAAATTTTGATTCTGCCATTCTTATATGTTTTACAAAGGACACTCACGAAATATAGTGGACTTTTTTAATTCTCACCTTCACACAATGTATTATTCGACCTTATAGTGTTGCAAAAATACCTGAGGGTGTGCCAATATCAAAATATATTTATGAATGATGAGTGTGACCCAGGAAATTCATTTCAAACAATTTTATCGACCACACCCCCTATTGGGGGGAGTTTCTGCCCCAGGGGTGTGGTCGTCATATTTTTATATTTTTGTACTCAGCAACTCATACTAACCCTGAATTAAAATTTTTGAGGATTAAAAAAATTTTCTGGCCGAGATGTAACCGTTTATATATACTAAAACGCGGGTTTTTTGGCCACTTTGAGTGGGTGTAACACCGAAGGTCGCAGCTACCCGACCAGGATATTTACGGTTCTTCATTCCTATGGGAGGGTACTACAATCTTGAAAGAAAGGTCCGCCGGGAACCTGCTACCTCCAGAGTTACACCCCCTCAAACTTTCTCAGGAAAGTGTTATATTGAAGTTACTAATTAACGTAGTTTTCAACAAAATTTTAGCGAAATTCGCGATGTAAAATTTAAAACACAGTTGAATAAGTTCGTTTGAATCCCAAATGTACTAAAAAAATTCGAAAACTACGTTAATTAGTAACTTCAATACAGCACTTCCCTGAGAAAGTTTGAGGGGGTGTAACTCTGGAGGTAGCAGGTTCCCGGCGGACTTTTCTTTCAAGATTGTAGTACCCTCCCATAGGAATGAAGAACCGTAAATATCCTGGTCGGGTAGCTGCGACCTTCGGTGTTACACCCACTCAAAGTGGCCAAAAAACCCGCGTTTTAGTATATATAAACGGTTACATCTCGGCCAGAAAATTTTTTTAATCCTCAAAAATTTTAATTCAGGGCAGGGTTCGCTACCCCGGGTTTTTGTGGGTTGGGGTTTTTGCGGGTTTTTGTGGGTTTTTGTGGGTTTTTCCGGGGTTTTTGTAGGAGTTTGAGGCAGATTGAAACAAAATCCCTTAAACTACAACGTAGATCAATGCTAATTAACTTTTCTGCTTCATCTTGAAATTTTGAGAATTTTCATTTGCGACTTGAATTGCCAAATATCATTACATATTTCCAGGTTTACATGTCAAACATGAATTTTCGATGTAAAAGTCCAAATCAATGATAACGGTTAAAATTGCATGTTAAAATTGTACACTAAATTAGTTTATCTCTAATATATAATTTTAGGAATTCTGGTTCAACCTGCCCCAAAATCTACAAAAACCCACAAAAACCCACAAAAACCCAAAAACCCACAAAAACCCCAAAAACCCCAGAAAAACCCCCGGGGTTGGGTTTTTCTACAAAAACCCCGGGGTTTTCCGAACCCTGATTCAGGGCTAGTATGAGACATAATTCAGGAGATTATAAACGTGTATGTCTTCTCATCAGTTTTCGACAAAGTTGGGGAGAAAGTGCGGATAAAAAAAATTACCAAATCTATTGATTATTACGATAATTTGACTTTTACGTATTCGACTATCTTCAATAGTTAACCTAATTCGGTTTGGAAAATTGTCTTTCGGTTAAACTTGCAATATCTATTTTCACTACGGAATCCTGTACTTTATCCGTTACCAAGTTGTAATGTTGAAACAATAATCTATTTCGTATTTTTATCTGACCTGTTATACATATATGGTACCTATATGACTACGCATCTCGGTACCCTCCGTTAAGTTTACGAAATAATTGCAATCTTTTCCTCATTCTGTATTAGCTTCAAGTATACACACGGATCTACGCGTCGTGACCCTCATATTTTCATTTAAAGTCGGGGGAGATAAATCCAAAATTGTAAAATCTTTTCATTGTACCGATAATGTGACCATTATGTATTCAATTACCTATTCCAATTAGGTTCCCCAGTGAAGATAAATATGCATTAATTTAATATCAATTATCTGACTATGTACTCCGACAACTTGTAATTTAAATAGTCATAATCTCACCTTTCTCCGATGCTATCAACAAATAATAATGAGAGTTGAGCGCACCGTCGTTGACACTGAGACGTTTCGATAGAAGACATCGTGACATTTCTCCTGGTCGTCAATCTCTTGACCTCGTCAACGATGTGTTGAATTTACACACACCTTTCAATCCCTTCGCTCCATCAGCCGAGACACAAAGGAGTGTGGAGGCGAGTTAACTCACCTGAAGCCGTATTATATGGGGACAGGGTCGATGAGAATAACTCCATCACCGACTTATCATCTTAGGATCCCCATCACCACTAAAACGAATGACATTACGAAACTTGACTGATAATGAACATGCATAGGTGAAATTTCGAGCCGCATTTTGCTTATTCAGCATCATCGTCATCTACACAAGCCTGCTCGTCACTTGGGACAACCAAAGCACGAAGAAAGTTTACCTGAACTACTCCAATGGGTCATAATATTAATAATAATTGTTTGTAATAATAATCTTATCAGATTATGCTTCAGAACCGTTATAAAACTATAGTAAACTGATATCCACACAATAACTGTATACAGTTATACACATGAAACCCGATGTAAAGAAATTATGACTGGAAAGTATCAACAATCCACATAAATTTCCATTACGAATAAACTTCAAATTATCAATGTTTAGTATAAGTACGTATATAAATAGGCGACTATTACACCGTGATTATTGCGTGATCTAATTAGAGAGTTATTTGAGTATTATGAAATATTTATGTATGTAAGTAACATTACAATATGTATGTAAGTCCGAGGAATAAAACAGCTCCTCTGGCCTACTTATAACCCCTCCACTTTAATTAGAAGTCGGCAGGGACCCGACTTATAGTTAACTTGGGGGGTGTTACGCGGAAGGATCCGAGTATGTGGGACATACAAGGATCTATAATTAGGCGCTGATACGACGACGAGAAAGAGAGAGACAGAGGGTGTTCAGTATGGATTTCGGGTTAGGATAAGTGTGGTGTGGACCACGGTATTAGTTAGTCGTGGATAAGTTAGGATAAGTAGTCAGTAAGTGGAATGGAAATAAAGGAAGATTACAAGGAAGAATAGCCCGAGACCCCTTAATTCTCCACCCACCACCATCGAAATCGCGTAACACTTTGTAGAAAATCTTTATTTATTGGACTGAAGAAGTCTGTATACGACCATCTTCATCATGTGGCATCATTACTTGTTTAGTTAACTGTAAGAATTAAGGATTAGATGAAAGGGCTAGGATTATTAAAGGATTAGGACTTATGTAAGGGATTTAAGGAACTGACTTTAACGTCTTATTAACCAAATTTGTTGATTTTTCGCACTTTAAGGTTGCTTTGTTCTATTGTATCAGACAGTTTTTCCCGTTTATAGTAGTGAATTTATATCGGGCAAAATCAACGACGTATGTACTCATGATTAACTATCAAGTTGTTCAGTTCAGTTCGGTTCAGCTGTGCAAGGATCACTATAAAAAATTTGATTAGCAGCCTTGATATTCTGTAGGGGTCATTCATAGTAGAACTGCTGGTCTTATTTTACCTAGAAAATTATCAAAAATGTGTAATCCACTCTTAACGCAGAATATAATGATACTTTTTATTTATTAATACGTTTAGTTATGTCAGGATGTTCTGACATAGAACTTTCGCTATCTCAATTTATAAAAATCAATAGCTCCATCAACCGTGCGTGG